CTAATTTCCCCATTTTCCAATTACTTAGTTTTCTAATTTCCCAATTTCCCAATTTCCCAATTTCCTAATTTCCCAATTTCCCCATTTTCCAATTTCCCATTTCCCAATTTCCCAATTTTATAGTTATAAAAGTTACTCAAAAAATTATCTTTCATAATTGCACTTAATTTCTTATCATTACAAACAATATGTGTTTATATGAATTATAATATTTATGTACTGTATTTTATAACCAGTATACTCGTACCTAAATCTTGTATACTCTAATGAATTTTCTTGCCAGCAATAATTAAAGAAATTTTTTATTATACTATCTGAAAACGAAGAAAGTTACATCTCTTGAAAAAATTATTTAAACAGAAAATTATTTTTATGTGTATCACCAGACAGTACCACGAAATATCTTTCAGAACAGGGACAGCCAACGTGTTAATTATATTATCAGTTCAAATATGTACATAAAATCGAAGATGTGCTCACTTTACTAATTAAACACGAACTAAATGGCGCGTTATTAATAAACAATCACGAATAAAAATCACGTCCGAGCATGGCAAAGTGTTTGAAGGAAACAGATTTTCAATGTTGGGCTTTGGTTGGAAAACTCGTGAATTTTTCACAGTATAGAAAATCGATACGCGGGATATTGCGATTCTATCGGCAAACACGGATTACGCTACGCCTGCTCGTATAATCCGCGAAATGGACGATTAATAACGATCGAATATATGTACACGTTGTACGGATAACATACGAACCGTAGTATTCAAACTCATAACACGGTCGAATCGAACTTCACTAAATATTTAGATACAGTCTCGTTCGACTGAAGGGATCTCATACTTTTTCATTTTTTTTCGATTCAGTCATTATCGAAACTGTATTAGTGGAGATATTCGAGCCATCGGTCTATACGTTGCTATTTGTATTAGTGATTGATTTAGAAATTTAGTGCGTTTTATACTATTTTTGTACTGGGGTGCGATATAGGGTTGATTGGCTAAGAATAAGATGGGGGGTTTTAGGATAAGTTCTTATTATGAGGTTCTTGTATTGGATGCTTAGCAATTTTTAGGTTTCCAAGTTTTCAAGTTCTTAAGTTTGCAAATTTTCTAATACTGAGATTTGCAGAATTTCTTATTTCCTAATTTCCCATTTTCCAAATTTTCCAATTTCTCCACTTCCCAATTTTCCCATTTCCAAATTTCTCAATTTCCCAAATTTCCCAATTTCCCAAATTTCCCAATATCTCAATTTCCCAATTTCTCAATTAGTCAATTTTCAAATTTCCCAATTTTCTAATTTCCTAATTTCCTAATTTTCCAAGCTCCTAAATCCCTAATTTCCTCATTTCCCAATTTTCCAATTTCTCAAATTCCTCAATTCCCAATTTTCCAATTTTTCAAATTCCTCAATTCCCAATTTCCCAAATTCCCAAATTTCCAAATTCTCAATTCTCCAATTTCCCAATTAGTGAGTTTCCTAATTTTTCAATTTTCCAGTTTCCTAATTTCCTAATTCCCCAATTTCCCAATAAGTCAGTCTCCCAATTTCCCAATGTCTCAATTAGTTAGTTTCGCAATTTTCCAGTTTCCCAATTTCCCAATTATTCAGCTTCCCATTTTTCCAATTTGTCAATTAGTGAGTTTCGCAATTTCCCAATTTCCAAATTTTCCAATTTCCCAATTTTTTAATTTACGTTGATTTATGTAGATTACAGTCTCTTGTCTTCCAGCTTAGTAGAAAATTAGCAAACCTCATCATGTATTCTTTCATATAGATTTCTTCTGGCGACGAGTTGGAATAAAATTCACACTCTACTAACAAAATTTATAAACTCGAATAATAAAATCATTCGATTAAAAATAACCTTCAAAAATCGTCTCAAGTTGCCTACCAACTCCCATTCATCAAATAAAATAAAAGTAATAAGAACAAATACAAAATATAATCTTTTGATCTTCGACTAACTGTCACTAGAAAATAGTTCTTTACAAAACAATATATCTACCTGACTTTCCATAAGTAATTACGTAGTCTGTATATCATACATGCATGCCTACCGTACGAATACGGGAATTTCATGAATCGTGCAACAGTTCCGCGGAATGACTAAATGGTTATGGACGATAGATAAAATAGACGCGAGTAGTTTGTACGCTGTAGCCGTCGTCGCTTTAATGCAGCACGTGAGTCGCCTGGTTGAAGGTGTAACGGGTTCGATACAATATTCGGAGCTGGCCGTTCGGTCGGTCGACGTTGTGAAAGAGGTCGAGGAATTTCGAGGTCGAGGATAATGTGGAACGCATCGATGACGGTCTCGGGTACCGTTTAACCCTTTCGCTGCCTGCGACGGACAGCGAGCCGATTGGACTGGTTTCTAACGAAATTGCTTGTACATATGTTGCTACGAAATAATGTGGATTCATTCACTTACGCAAGGTTAATGTACGCATTAGCTATCGTATACCATTAGTGAACAATTATTTATTTTTCTTTATTGACGAATTTATCGAAATGGTCATATGTGATCGACTGCAAATTGTAATTAATTATTTACGGAGAAATGATGAAAATTTTTAGGACTCATAATGTTGAAATAGTGATATACACTGACACATTAAAGAAAATTAAAAAATTAAGTATGTTTGTTCGTATGTCATATGTGACATATATGACCATTATTGCAAAGTCAGTTAAATTAATTATTTACGGAGAAATGATGAAAATTTTTAGGACTCATAATGTTGAAATAGTGATATACACTGACAGATTAAAGAAAATTGAAGAATTAAGTATATTTGTTCTTAACCCGTATGTGACATATGTGACATATGTGACTATTATTACAAAATCAGTTATATTAATTATTTATGGAAAAATATAGAAAATGTTTAGGGTTCATAATGTTGAGAAGGTGACATACATTGATAGATTGAATGAAATTGAAAAATTAAATATATTTGTTCTGAACTCGTATGTGACATATGTGGCCATTGTCGCACAGTCAGTTAAATTAATTATTTACGGCAAAAACGAAAGAATTTTTTGAGGATTCACAATTTTGAGACAGTGATATGCACTGACAGGTTAAAAGATGAAATTTGGAGATTAACCTTGATCTTATATCATATGTGACATATGTGACCGTTGTACCAAATCCAGTTGAATTAATTATTTATGGAAACAACGGAATTTTTGAGGATGCATAAAATTGAGACAATGATATGCATTGTCAGATTAAAAGATGAAATTTGAAGATTAACCTTGATCTTATTTCATATGTGACATATGTGACCGTTGTACCAAATCCGGTTAAATTAATTATTTATGGAAACAACGGAATTTTTGAGGATACATAAAATTGAGTCAATGATATACACTGGCAGATTAAAAGATGAAATTTGAAAATTAAGTGGCCTTGATCTTGTATCATATGTGACATATGTGGCAGCTGTCCCAAATTCAGTTGAATTAATTATTTGCAAGAAAAATGGTCGCAATTTTTGAGATCATGACACACACTCGCATATTAAAAAATAAGTTTTTTTTCTGAAAATCTGGACTTCTAAAAATTTAGATTTTAAAATTAAAAAATGTTGATATACAAAAATCTAGAAATTCAAGAATTAAAAATTTTTAGAATTTGCGATTTGTAAATTTGTGAACTTAAGAAATTCAATAATATTGAATTTACTGAATCTGAAGATTTCAGAATTTCAAAATTTACAAACTTGTAAATTCAAAAATTTATAAACTATTTAAAAAATCTGCATATGTGTTATCTCAAAGAAGCCGACATTTGACTCAAGTTTACGATCGTAATTCAAGTTTGCAACGAATCTAGATAAAATTCATAATCCGGTTTCGTAATAAAACTTGAAAGCACATGATTGAAGATAGCCGTCGACGAAGAATAACTTCAACTCGTGTAATAATTTATAGTCATCAAATAAGATGAAGTTCTACGAGATATAAATATCAATACTAAACTAACCAAACCGGTCAAAATGTCCGTTTAACTACTTTTCTATTTTGAATTACAAAGTTTACAGTGACTTTCTTGAAGTTTGCGTTGATTTCCATCAAGATAAAGCATTAATGCACACGTTAATCTATGTCTTATGCTTCGTTTATTTATTCTTCAACTTCGCTTTTAATTTCCAGGTAAATGTACGTTGTACACGTGTAAGTACCTTTACTGATATCGGCGTACTTATTAATGTGAAGCATCCTTATTAAGTTTTATCGAAAACAATTAAAAAAATTTTTGCAAACGTTGTAATTTTTATCTGGTTATTTTGTTATCAACTATTTATGCAATGCAATGCAATACTTTTATGTTACAAAAGTATATATATGATTTGCAAAAAGAATTGGATGTGAACGCTGCAGAAGTTGTAACGATGACAAATTTAACTGGTCTCAAAATATTTGTTTTCAATTCTATTCCATGTATAATACTTCGTACTGATAACAAAATGGATGACTTAATCGTGAAGTGTATATACAGTTAGTATGTCCATAATGACTGATTCTGAAGAAATGATGTCACCTGTTCAATTCACAGAAAGATACAAGAAAATTGCCTCAGGATCAACTTGTCCAAAATTAGACACCTAATAGCAATTTACAAGTGTCTCATAATACGTATAGTAGCCGAAAATGATTATGTACTCAGCATTATCCGACAACTTAATCAAATCCCTTCAACTATCTACCTGTTTCATAAACATCTGATAGTTTAAGCTGTCTAACCGATTTCAAGTTCAACATCCATGTTGTTCGACAACATAATCAAATCCCTTCAAAAACTATCTGTTTCATAAATACGTTTGAACTTTGCAACCAATTTGGAGACGTCAGGAAACAGTATCCGACTGGTGTGTGGGAGATACATCTTCATATTAGGGAAGTTTGACCTCTGGACGCTCGGAGGCAGGATATCGTTAATTCAGGATCAGCGTCCACACTCGAATGCGATAACGATTCAATCTTACCTGGGTTGCTGTCGGCGTTCGAGCTAAAAAGCACGCACAAGCCCGTTTCATAGTTGACCGCCTGGCAGGAGTCGTTCGCCTGACAGGTCTCGAGGCAATCGGTGAGCATCAGTGTGCCCGGAATGGACTCGAGCATGTTCGTGGGCGCGCTGTACACGTAACCGGTCACCAACTCGAAACCGACCATTTCTGGGTCACACTCGTCGGAACCGGCAGATGGTCCCGTGTAATCCGGCCCAGAAAGACCCGACGGGACCGCGGAAGGGACCGGCTGGTCAGCACCGTGAGTCGACTCGGCGCCCGCCACGCGACCATACCTCGCGATCGCCTGCAGCAACAGCAACGTCGTGATGAATCTTGTCATCGTGCCGTTCTACCTGTCTCTGAACGTTTATCTGCAATCAGAAAATATGGCCAATTGATTGGCTGTGCGGCTTTTATGAAGTTCCGAGTTGTTACGACCGGAATTATCGTTTATGCCCTCAATACGAATTACGATTTTATATATTCTTTTGAACACGTCGCAGAATTGCTCTTGATCTTCATTATTTACTTTTATGATTTCATAATTTTTGCTAACTTTATTATAGCTCTATTAGTTCACTTAAGTATTTAGCTTTAGTTGTCTTTCTTGTCTTTTCCTTTACGTAAGCAACAGAGAGAAATTTTGTACAAAAATTTGCAAATTTCTTGTAATAATTGCTTCTTCAGTTATTTAGTCATGAGTAAACTTTAAGTGAAATTGAATACGAGCTCCACATTTGAAGTAATTTGAAGGATTTTATAGCTTTATTAGTTCACTTAGGTATTTAGCTTTAGTTGCCTACGAATCTTTCTTGTCTTTTATTTTACGTAAGGAACAAGGAGAAATTTTGTAGAAAATTGTCAAATTTCTTGTAATAATTGTTTCTTCTGTTGTTTAATCACGAGTAAACTTTTTAATAAAATTGAGTAAGAATTTCACATTTTAAGTAATTTGAGAAATTTTCCTAGATGTCTAACAGAGAATAGTGGAGTCCAGCACTATGTTCGTTGAATTCAATATTCGTCACATTTTTTGTCATGATTGACTTTGACAGAGAAATGGTTCGATATTTGTTGAGAAATACAATATTCGTCAGGATGAGTTTTATAAAAGCTTTTTTCTGCTATCTTTTAAGATTATTTTTAAATTTGTAGGCGTTCAGATATTCACTTTATTGGAGATTAAATCAACCATTCCCTTTCTCATTAATTTTTCTGGAAAATTTATTTTATGTTCGCTGGATTTAATGTTCTGTATTACATATTTTATATTCAATTTTCCCTACTCTAAATTTTGTATTACACATTGGATACTTCATGTTGTGTATTTTATATCCTTTATATATAATATTTTATATTTTGATATTCCTCATCGTATTTAACCCTATGACTTTTGTTAGAAAATATATTATTTGAACACCATATACTTTTGATGTGATAAGTATTCACAGGATCTGTCAATTTTAGTCATTGTATCAAAACGTAGATCTTGAAGAAATCTATTCAACAGCACGAGAGATATGTTTGAGTGATGTGCAATTTTTAGCCTAGATGAATAATAGTTAACTTTGGTTAAATTTGATAAATTCTTAACCATATAAGCGTTATATCACTTGAAATTTTAAACTCAAAGTTCACCAGAGAAATATTTATTTTTGTCGTATATTGACATGCACTGAACAAGTTATACTCGATGATTAAATGGTATGTGTAAAATAGTCACTGATTTGACCATACGAGATAAATTTTTGTTATACAAAGTGAACTTCTTTTAACTTATATTTGTTCTAATTATTTAACACTTGAATAGTAAAAAATAATTGTGAAATGAAAAATAATGAAAGTGTCTAGAGAGATACGAAAAGATTAACATAATCTTATTCTGAATTGTATTCTCTTCAACTTGTTGCATCGTGTCAGAAATATACGAAATCGTGTACATCTTGATGCAACATATGAAATTACTATGATATGAAATTTTGTATTTCGTCAAACGTAAATGAATTACAAGTTCTTTTATTAATCTTCCATAAATTTTATAAATTTAAAACATTTATTTATAATTATTACTTATGAAAGTTCAAAATATATTTTCATTCAAAACTAAAAAATTCGTGTAACAAAAGATAAAATCACCTTTTCAAAAAACTCACTTTAAAAATTGTGTGCAAATGTTTCAAAATTAACAAACTTCGATGTATTACTTTTCTGAACGTATCATTTCTCTTATACTTTTCGTAAAGGAGGAATTTTTACTTTCATTACAATTATGTTCGAATATTACTCAAAATTGTTTCACATTTTACACATCAAAGATTTAATTATACAAAATGTCAGATAAAAGATATTATAACTTTTTGATACATTTCATTTTCATTTAAAATTATTGATTATTTAAAATTTTATAATTTCAGTCGTATTTTGAATGATTATTTAATAAACGTTTATAATTTTATTTCAATCGTATTTGAACAACATATTAACATTTTATAAATTAACATAAATCATGTTTAAATAATTTACTTAACATTTTATAATTTTATTCAATCATGTTTAAATAATTTATTATTTGACATTTTACAATTTTATTTCCATTATGTTTAAATTTTAGATAGATTGCATTTAAACAATTTATCAACTCAAATTTTACAACTTCATTTAAGTCAGTCAGTTTGAGTCTGTTGCCACATTAGAAATATTTTCGTTGCGAAATATCGAATATGTATCTATTGACGTTTCGTGATAACTGATGGACACATACAGGACCCCGGAAACTAAGAAATTTGATGTTCACCGTTATAAGTTATGCAGTAACTGTAAATTTGAGAATACACTCCGTTAACTAAGAAGAGATAACATTGATTGTTTCTGAAGAACCGTTCACTCCTAGTCCATCTAAAATTCTCTTCAACTTCAATCTACATCTATCATAAAACCGAACAAATCCACAAGTTCACCGTAACATTTAACATTCATCCGTAATCATGCACTTGAACTTCAAGATTACTTCAGGTCGACAGATCCAAAACAACATTTCCACTTCTGCGTTTCAACATAGAATCAAACACAGACAGTGCTCGAACACAGAGATCTCCATTTCCATCAGTGCATACACAGTTCAGATATTAATCTCTCGAATAAGAAGCTACGATCGGGTGCTCCTGCGCAGTCGTCCGCCCGCGTAAATCAAATCGAAATATTTCTACGCGAAGAGACACTTGATGACCTTACCTGGGTACTCGGTACCGAACGTAATCGCAACGAAGCAGAGGGTACCACAAGAATGTCCTTCCGCGCGAGAACTATCGGGTCCCAGGCAAAGAACTAGCCGGTCACCGCAGCCGAAAAGAAACCGAACGGTCCGCACCCGGGTCCACCGATCACAGATGAATCGCGAGCACGTGTAAGCACTTGGAAAATCGGCGACGATTTGCAATGATAATACGGACCTCGCGAGCACCGCGCTGCAGGGTATAACGACGTCGACCGGCTGGCTCTTAGGCACTGGGTACACCTGGCTGAACCTCGGCGCACGACTCTTCCTCGACCGAACGGTAGACCAAGGAGGGGGGGCACTGGGACCGCTGCCGACTAAGGAGGACAGAACGGTACGCACAATTCGATCGCAGGTACGTCACCATTGAAAACAAGCCAACCTCTTTCTCACTTTGTCTCAAGACTATTCGACAACCTCCACCCGAATTCTTCCCCCATTCTCCATTTTTTCACGTACCCCGATCGACACGCGTACCCCCACCACATGTCCTTCGCGTACCACGGACCTCGATCTCGTTCACGTATGCCTGATACATCCACTCGAATTCTATTCTTGGGGGCAACGGTTTTTCGGTGCCCCCTCCGGGTACCACTGACGTAACCTTGCCTTGGGACGCCCACGAAATTTATGCCGGCCACGGGACATCGAACCTGACGCCCGGATGGGGAACCTGCTCCGCGTTCCACGCTTTAATCGCTCACTTCTGACGATAATGCAGGTTTTGTGTTTGGGAACAGATGGTTTTTGACGATTCTTGCGCGTGGGGCCTTTGTTCCTTTGCTTCGGCTGGTTGATTGATGGCTAGGTGCTTTTGTGGAGTCGTTTAGTTGGGTTTGGTTTTTATTCTGTTTTGCCTGGTGATTTAGATTGCAATTGGATGGCAATTTATTCTGCGGAGTTGTTTTAGGAAGTTGGCTGCTTACTCATTTAGTTAATATTGAGTTCATAGCTGCTTTTGAGGGTACCTTGAGTTAGGTGTGGTTGATCTGTTCTGGATGATTTGATGGCAATTTAGGTAATTTTGAGGATTCTTTGCAGGAGATTAATTACTCGTTTATTGTTAGTATTGAGCTAGTAACTCAGGTCATTTTGAAGATTCGTTATTTATTCGTTAGATCTTCAGGTGATAGTATTATTTGAAGATTTGTTAAATTCGCTAGGTTGAGTCGATTCATTGTTTATTTACTGTCGTTGTTATTGGATCTAATTGTAAGTAATTTTTAGGACTTTTTGAAATGGATTTGATTCAATCGTTGTCCGAGTGCTTATGATAGCAGTTTAGGTGTTTCTCAGGATTCGTTGGACTGGCTTTAGTAATTGTTCTATTAATATTATTTGTGTAAATGATGATCAAGGACTTTTTTGAGGAATCTTTGTACTAGGTGTATTATTTATTAGTTTATTATTGGTGTTGGGTACCTAGATTACAACTCAGATAACTTTGACTATTAAAATTAAGCATTCCTAAGGTTCCATCACATGGAACAGTTTTCAAACTGTATACATAGCCTAATACTTCATATATTTTTTATTTCATACAAACACATGGAAAAATAATCGTTTTCTACAAAAATAGAACTATTGGTTAAATTGTATAATACTATCCACTGTATACAAGATTCCCGTAATTACCACTGATTCTAACAATTATGTTTATATGTTGTATCAACATTCAATATTTAAAAACATATAAATAACAAAAGATCAATTTTATTCAAACTTGGAATGAAATATTAAGTTATTCGATAAAATAATAAAACCGAATTATATTTGCTCCCCCAGTTTTTAAATTTACAAAAATTATAAGATGACATAATATATTTTTTTAAATTGCATTATGGTATTTAAATTCGGTTTCGGTTATATTTGAAAAGACTAAAAAATTCGAAATTCTACGCCACATATTCCGTGTATTTCTGTACGAAGAATTCTTTCGTAAAGCAAGAAGGTATGTTCAGAACGCACTAACGGTAAGAATAATCGAACGGAGCACATTGCCAGACCACGCATCAGATTGCGGGCACAAGAAACGGAGGTAATTAGATTCTTTACGCCACAGTAACTCTGTTTCCTTTCCTCTGCCTAATTGTATGTCATAATTATTATGTACACTGTTACGCAAAATTATAATGTCACTTTATTTTCAGCTAGTGATAACACTGCTCTTCATTTTACTATCTTCAGGCGCACAGCATCTTTCCTTTGTAAAAAAAATTATTTCACAATTTTTAATTTTTTAAAAAAGGAACAAATTCTTTTTTTAATTTGTACATTTTCCTTTGTGATTCTTAGTTTTCATCTGTTCTTGTACATATTTTCTAATTTGGCAGAGGTACACATTCATTAATGAAAACAATCATTTATTTACTTACTAATTACTAAAATTGATTCTACTTATTAATTACTGCTGAAGTAATTAATTAAAAAATTTTGCTTTTCACACTGTTAATAAGGTTTCCAATTAACTTTTGAAAATTATTCTCTGTTGTAGTAGTAACGGCTTTTAATTGAATCGTCGAACACTTTCCATAATAATACCTTTTGTATAGTTAATGATCTGATTCAGATTTGGATGCAGCATACAGTTTTAACTCGTGTTGGAATTTCGTTCAAAAAGGAAAGGAAATACATTTTTTCCAGAAATAATGCAATTAATTTCTAACGAAAACAATTCGGTTGAAAAGAACTTAATTGAAAACAATTGAATTAAGCTAAAAACAATCTGACTGAAAACAATTGAATTGAAAATAGTTCAACTAGAAGAAATTCAATAAAAAAAGATTTAATTGAAAAGAATTCCATTCAAAATTTTAAATTAAAAATTAAAAGGAATTTTAATTAAAAATGAAGTTGTTGAGTAATTAATTTTTTTAATACTATCTGCAAGCTTTAAATTAAAAACATAACATTACTTCTTATTAACAATAAATGATAGCAGTATAATACACATGGACTCAAGTGAAAAAAGTATCATAAATATCCTTTTCCAAATTCTTTTTCTAAAAATATCCTACTTGTTCCAAAATTCATTCATTCAGAATGTGATATAGTGAAAAACACAAGTTACACAATAAACTATGATCAGATGACTTTTCTCACTCCTCTGAAATTGTTTAATATTATATTATGTCATAATCGTCAAAACAGGTCGTCACTCAGAATTCATCTATCACAATTGTTCAATCTTTCAAAACTACACAAACTTCATAAACTTAATTTCGTGAAATGTCGGACTACTTCATAATTCAACCCAAAAGGAATAAACTCCATTTTCATAAATATTTATTCTTGCAATAATATCATTTAAAAATGCAGGAACTCTACTTGTAATATTCCAGATTTCCTAGTAAGTTCAATATCCCTAACCAAAACGGTTGAAGCTACCTAGTAATCGAGTTCAAAAGGTAGCACAACGCCACAGCGCCAGCGAGGTAAAATTTTCGGCGTATCGCTGAAAACCTTCCTTGTGCATCGTCGGTTTTCTTTTTAACCAGCCTCATTACTTTTGTGGCAGAGCTGGTAATTACCGGGCGATCTAGAAACAGGGCGGATGACGAGTAGCACGACGACGAAACCGGGTGGGGGTAGAGAACAGGAAAAGCAAGAGATCCCAAAGAGAGCAAAATCGGGTGCACGTGTGAACAGTGCGACCTAAGCGGGCGTCGGTGTTCCATCGAACGTTAGGTATATATACACACTTGGCCGATTCACGCGATGCTTAGACGCTGTTCGACTCGTGGAACGAGCGGACGGGAAAGAAAGGGAAAGAAAGAGAGAAAGAAAGAGGAAAAGAAAGAGAGAGATGTAGCTCGTAGCACTCGTACCAGGTGCCTATACCATCTCGTCACCATGCTGGAATAACGGTGCCTGGATGTCTCATCGGGTTCAATCGCAATCGGCAATCTTCCGCCGCGGAATTTCGCTAGGAAACGACCATTTTGTCGTCTTGCTCGTCTTCGTCGATTTACGAGCAGCCGCTATTCGTCCGCCCTTGAGGAGCACTCTGATCGACCCAATAGCCCCCTGGCCGTGTCGTTTGATCCGCTGATGCGTGTCTTACGGACTCTAATAAAGCTACCCCCATTTTGTTTCATCCAACGCGTTACGTATCGCGATATTTACGGTTTCGTGCATTTCTTGACATTGTCATTCTAGAAATAGTCATGTGTGGATATTTTAGCAAATCATTTGTACAACTAGCCATATATAGATCCCTTTATATTTTGACCGAACAAATTATCGTATGTGGATCATTTAGTGCTTTAATTAGAATATATTTTAATATGTTATTCAGAAAAAGAGGTATGTGCATCTTTTTAACGTTTTGATTTTAGAAATAATCATATGTGGATCACTTATCATGTTGGTTTAGAATATGGTCGTATGCGGACCACTTAACATTTTGGTTCAAAGACTAAACTTATGTGAATGTGTTAACATGTTGATTGAGAGCATGGTCATATGTGGATTCTTTAATACATTGGATATAAAAACAGACATCTTTAACATATGCGTTCTACAAATAATCATATGTGGATCATTTAACATTTTGGTTCAAAACTAGATATATGTGGATTTATTAACATGTAGGTTTAGGATATAGTCATACATAGACCTGTCAATACATTGATTATAAAAACAATCATCTTTAACATATTCATTCTAAAAATAATCATACATGGATCATTTAACATGTTGGTTTAGAACATGGTCATATGTGGATCGTTTAACATGTTGGTTTAGAAAATGGTCACATGTGGATCGCTTAACATGCTGGTTTAGAACATGATCATATGTGGTCTCTTTAATATATTGGTTATAAAAACAGACATGTGTACATCTTTTAACGTTTTGATTCTATAAATAATCATATGTATATCACTTAACATTTTGATTCTATAAATAATCATATGTATATCACTTAACATTTTGATTCTATAAATAATCATATGTATATCACTTAACATTTTGGTTCAAAGACTAAACTTATGTGAATGTGTAAACATGTTGATTTAGAACATGGTCATATGTGGACTCTT